CGGCAGTGTTTGCTCTACTCGGCGAGTAACTACCGGCTACTATGCAATCGTCACAAGTGATGTAGACATGATCATTTTGATTCTACTCCGCAGCTTGTAGCCAATATTTTATTAAGAAAAGAAAAATATATACCACAAAATTACGTTATATAATTTATTTTATTCGTGTCGTTTCGATCATTTTAAAAGATAAAAACTGACCTATGATTAAATCATTTTCAGTAAACTAGATATTAAAGCAATTTGAATAACAAATTTACAACACAATCAAGGTGAAGTTTAGGTCAAGTATAAATATGTAATTTGCTCGTATAAGTTTGACGATTAGATCAAAAGTGGACAACACCCAAAAGATAGTTAAGGTCATTATTAATTTGAGAAAACAGTGTTTTTTTTAATTCATAAGTTATAACTATAAATCTATCGATTCCAACTTCTATAAAAATAAAAATCGTAAATCGATAAGGTTCATGACTGATTTTACACAACCCATCCCTACTAAATTTGAAATGAATTGTCAAACTAATCTAAATTATTTAGACACACTACAATGAAGACGTCTTCAGCTATTTGTTAATTAGTAAAGAAATTTGTATACAATAAACTGCAGTTATTGTAATGATTCGGCAGATTTGGTAAACGTTACGTGGGCTGTATCATATTTTCGTGTATTTAATTTTTCATTTCTTAATTTATATGTAGTTTTCGCGATAACAATTTTAAGTTGTATTGAGTGACAGGGCGTGGGCGAGGAAGGCGTGGCCACAGCTCCGCCCAACTGGGTCCCGCCCTCGCCCTTTACCACGTTTTCATGAAAATCTTGTAACCGTTCTCGAGCTTTGTAGGTATCCAATCAAAAACGTTACATAAAACTAACATTTGTACAGACACGAAACTTGTAATTTTTGGTAACTACGTAGAGGGCAACTTGTTGCTATTTGTTATGTCTTAGATAAATTCGTCGCTTTTTTAAAACGCAGGTCAGGAGGACCGTTGTTTATTTCCGCAGGAGTGATGCGCGAACGTCAGTAGACCTGTGGGCCAAACTTCGTTCACGTAAACCCGTGTGAATCCGTAACAGTTTTCGACATTTAAACACTACTAATCTTGAGCATAATGAACATAAAAAATATTGTTTCTTTTTATCTCAAAAATTAGATGTACGACCTAATAAAATGGATGAATTTATTGTGCGTTTCTAGATGCGCCTGAAATAATATTTTGTTAACGTTTTTGTCATAAAAACAATGCTTCTAAAACAAGGGAATAGGTATGTTTCCCACTATTTCTGTGCCCATTACATTCTCTTTAAAAAAAGTTATTAAGTCGAAATTGATTACATTTAGCGTCTGATGGCAAAGGAGATGAGCATCGTCGGTGTGGCAGCCCGCGGGGCAGATAAACTCGTTAGCTCAAGATACGTCAACGACGGCAGCGGCGACGCGGCAGCGCTGCGGCGCGGGGTATCCCTGTAATCTCGTTGCGACTCCCGACCCGTCGACTCGGATTCACCCCAAATTAGCTTTTGTTCTCGATCGACAATCTAATTCGCTGCCGTCTAAAATGTTTTTCTCTCAATTTACAACGTTCAATTCTGTCGGGCAAACAATTTCACTGGAAAAGGTGGTAAATGCACGAGTGTCGAGATCGTCTGTGCGCACCTAGATACTTCTCCTCGACGCCGTTAAAAGCTTGTTGTTGACGTAGCGTTCGATTCGAGAGGCGCAGCTCCGTTCTTGTCCTTATAATTGATTGCTTTGTCGCGTAATTTGTTTGTCGACGCCTCGGGCGTGCGATTCTCGCGGGACTGTCGCGGTGCTCGCTCTTTCCTCAGTGTCCGCATAAATAATAAATAGCGTCCTCTGTTACCGTTACCTACGATCTCACGGAAACATATCTCACACCGAGTGACTCAGCATGACTCGCAATCTAGAAATACAGCTAATAGTGATATAGAACATATCAACAACCTGTACAATGTGGACCGTATTTAATTGCTATAGGTAAAGGATAACGTTAGAATTATAGCAAAGATATTTCAAGACAGATGTAACAGCACGGATGAGCGGGCGGAGCTGGCACGAGCGCGCCACCGTCACTAATAACCCCGTAATTGGTATCGGAGCTCGCCGCAGCCGGATTACTGAACATCTAATTGAATGCGAGACACTGCCCCGCCGCCGCCGCGCCGCAGCGACACGAGCGATTTAATTTTGTTGCGGTCAAGTTGCTCTGTGTCCGTGGCACGTGCGCACAGCTCACGACGCTCAATTACAACACCATCTTGATGAATTAAATCTTCGTAGCAGCAGAAGCCGCCGGGCGCCATCAAATATAGCTTTACGTGCCGCGCTCTCGCATTTTGGATTAGCCCACGACGCAAAGTTACAAAGTCAGATAATAATCATTTCGTGTCAATTAGCTAATGAAAAATTGAATAGCTCCCCGGTATATAGAAACATCATAATTAAAATTACGATCGCGATTGCCTGCCATCTGTTTTCGGTCCCTTTACTACTGTTCTCTGTGGAATTAATTCGTACTTCGGACTCTTAGCCTTTTCCCATTTTCATTGAATCGTCTCTCCTAATCTCTTCATGATAACCAATAAAGACACTGATGTATTTTATAACTTCCTTCAATCCGTTAGATTATAAAATGGTTAGAAAATCAAATGTTCTTCCAGGTTTTTTTACCAACACTGTTTTTGTATGGTTATTCCAATAATCATACTTCATACTTAATATTATAAATGCGAAAGTTCAGATGGATGGATGGATGTTTGTTAGAGATTATAGCCTAAACAACTGAACTGATTTCGATGAAATTTGGTACGGATGTAGAGGATGTTCTGGAAAAACACATAGGAGCACACACTTAGTTTTGTTTTTTTTTTTTAATTTCACGCGGACAGAGTCGCGGGAGAAAGCTAGTTAGACTTAATAGAAATTTATTTCTCAAACGGTAATGCATAATCTTATTAGAAATCGTTATTACTATTGACTTCTATTATTCGATACATAATATGCGAGATTTTTCAAACTAAAGAACCTTAAATTTTGAGTGTACAACTTTAAGTTATAGGTTTTTAATATTAAATAGCTTGGCTTCTGCTTTCAAACATTTCCGTCTATAAGATAGATTAGCAAAGTGTGCTGAACGTAAATGTCAAATATTAACCAAGAGGTGAACAGGTTGTTTAAACGTTGACTTTTTTCGCAAGTAAAACACTGCTATATCACAACATTATTCATTTAAAACAGATTTGACTTCTTGGTTTTTAATATTTGGAGTATTGAATACTAGAAATAATTAATTCTTTCTAGTTCTAGTTTTTATTTTATATGGTAAATTTACGGGTATTAATAACAACGGTTGACGGATTTTAAATTGGCTACAGGTCACTTGTGTTTACCGCGGTTTTTTATGTAGACTCATCTCTACTTAGTATCTACAGTTAAATCATATACAAATATTTTTATAAACAGACTACATGAAGCCCTTTCAAACGAATTAATGTGATTACGTATTCAACGTCTCTCTATGTTTTTTTTTATGGAAGCCCCTAATGTTAACAGGAGGTTACTGGTCTGTTGGTCATTTACCACGGAAAAAACATGGAAAGAAATTATGTATCTAAGTATTATTATTGTACTTATTATTTTCGTTGCTTATTTGCATGTGAAAATATGATAACTGTTTGTTAGTTCTCTTTCTGAATTATGTTGAGATTATATAAGCTTTCGCTCGCGACTCGGTCCGCGTAGCTTTATAAAAACTAAATTTCATGTAGTTTAGGCTACAAACTTTAACAAACAAACATCCATCCATCCACAGTAGTAAACTTTCGCATTTGTAATATTAGTAAGATATGCACATAATGTGTAATATCCGTATGTAATTTCAGTTTTTTTGTTACCTGTTTCTGTTCTCATAGCAAGTTGAAATGATATTCCGATGCGCAATTTTAAAGTTTATTTATTTCTCTTAGAATTAATGTTAAATCTCCCGTTCTCAAAGTTTATTTAATTATTTTTTACCCAACACTTAACTCTTGAAACTTTGCAGAGAAACGTTATCTATGTACGTAATAAACAAAATTATAGGTAAAAATGATTCCAAGGTCTCCTTGCAAAGTCCGAATTAAATCTATGTGATTCGTGAATAGTAGTAACGAGTAGCGATAGAAGCGGTTCTCGTATGCAGTGTGCCCGTTGCTCGTAGTTCGCAGTGTTTACAGCACGACGGCACCGTGCTCGCTCGCTGGAGCCGCGCCAACTAATCTCCTCTCAACAGGTAAATGGAGCCCGGCCGCTCGCGATGACATCACACACATATAACGTGCTCTCATATTGTGATTCACCTCATTCAAAATACCGACGCCCAAAATATCAATCAAATACCATTGTTCATATTTTTACACCGAAACATTTTTATATTTTTAACCTAAACATTCTTGTTGAAGATTGCAATACGTAAACTCTACATAGAACAAGGTAAAGTTAAATTATAGAAAGTTATACGGCTCGAATCGGAAAACCACTGACAGTAACAGGACCATTGAGACCACGATGGTCTTTACACATTGAGCTGCAGCTGCCATCTATGTCTTGTCATGAACTATTTAACTTATAATAGGAAATACGAAAAAGAGAATATTCAAGTTCTTAATGTTGGCAAAGGAAAATCTTGTTGATTTAAAAAAGAATACTTTTTGCGGAATAGCAAAGAAGGCTTACGGTATGAATGCCGGCAGCGGCACATGCGTAGGACAGCGGCGCGGCCTGTTATTAACTTTTTTAACGATTGTGTTAATTAGCGCGCTTTACCCGAAGCAGCCCCGAGGCCGCAGCCCTGGATAAAAAATACTAAACGATATGTTCTGCTATTAATTAAACCTAAAGTATTCTTATGCGCTCATGGAACTCTACTTTTATGTTTTAATTTTTGGATTTCTTAATTAAAAGGTCGGCTAATAATGTAAATTCTCGTTGTTACAGCAACTATTCCGGTCGCAGCAGGCAGCGGCGGCCGGCGGGCAAGCGGCGGCGGCGCAGTTGCAGCTATTGCAGCAGCAGCAGCAGCAACAGCAGTTCCAGCTACAGCAGCAGTTGGCTGCGCAGCAAGCCTTCACACAAGCGCCTTACGTAATAAACACTGGGCAAGAAGGTACACCATATGTGAGCGCCGTGATCGCCGGTGTCCCGCCTTACTATGGCATGGCGGCGCCTTGGGGCATGTACCCTGGCCTGGTGGCCCCGCCGGCGCAGCAGCAAGCCCAACAGCCGCGCCGGCCCCTCACGCCGCAGCAGGGCGAGCAGCAGGTGAACGGGCAGGGCCAGTACGTGATCCCGTACTACGACCCTGCCTCCATCGTATTGGGCGGCCGCAATGGCACGCCGCTGCGCCTGGTTTCCCCGGGCGGCGTGCTGGCGCCGCGCCAGTACCCCGCAGCGCACGCCGCCGCCACGCCCGCGCCGCCCGCGCCGCCCGCCGCGCACCAGCCGCAGCAGCCGCAGCCCCAGCAGACCGGTGAGTCACCACGCGACACGCAACAAAACAAACCATATTACTTTAACATCTATTTGAGTCAACGACAAATGATGAAAACAAACCGCGCATATCACAACAATGTTTACTGATGTACATTACTTTTGTTTTGTTTTTACCTGTAACAAAAGTTTCTTGTCTTTCTTGTTATCAATCTAATTGAGCAGTAACGATTACTTCTTAAACCTTAAATTTGATATCCTCGCGCCCATCGTTTCTCAAATATTATTTGATTATTAATTTAAATACGGGAGAATATTTAGTAAGATTTTTTACAGCATGTCAGAATTAGACTGATTTTGGGATTGTTTTATGTGCCATACTAAAATTCAAATTAAATCTACAATTAAATGTCTTAAACCATATTTCATAGTGGTGAGTGGTTTTTGTGTACTAAATGTGTAAATATTTTAAGTAAATGTAGTTATTTTATTAAAGTTTAATAACTTAATAATTTTTGACGCATGTCCACTTTTACTTTTTTTCTTATTTATTGTTATGTGTAACAAATAAGTTTCATATTTCAAAATTGCTTTTTCGGTATTTTTTTCGTATATCAGGTAATCACAATGTCCTCTTTTCCCGTGTCTCCTAATCAGAAGATCATTTGAACTTACTTTGTTGGCGTATACAAAGTTCAATATGGAGATCTAAAATTGATTCCCTAAATTCCAAGCTTGCTTCTGTCGTTAATATTGCATAGTGTACAAAATACTTAATTTTTACTATGTTATATTTTATACGTGTTAGGTTTTGAACTTAGAATATATCACCACACCAGTTTTTGTGGGAGTTTACACTTTTTATTATTTAAACAATAATGTATATAATGTAAAGTGTAGCTATACATACAATAGTCATGAGAAGAGTGCGAAGTGTTTAAGAAGGGCGATAGAGTTATTGTAAATAGCGTGTGCGTAGAGATGTACTGGTGTGTATCTCGGCGTGTGCGTGCTGCGAGCACGTGGCAGGTGTGGGTAGCGTGTGGGCAGTTGCAGGCGGCGCGGGGACGCGGCGCGACTCGCTGGAGTTCGGAGGTGGCGGGCCGGCGGCCGCGCTGCAGGAATACGCGCGCAAGTGGGGGCCCTCGCCCCTGTCGCCGCCGCTCGCGCTCGGCCCCGTCGGCCTGCGCCCCGTGTCGGCGGCGCCCGGCGCTGAGACTGCCAAGTACAGGTACACACGACACACCACACTGCACATTCCTCTATAGGCTACAATTATACTTATAGCACCGTTGTCACCATGTTTTGTTTCTCTTTCTTTTTTCAAATTATCACAAATTTCAACGGCGAGGACATTGCCCAGGGTCGTTATGTTGATTCCAAGGATTTCAAAAATCGAATGCATTCTCAAATTGTTTTTGTAAGATTTCGTTACTAACACACAATACTTTGGAAATATTATTGGCCTTGACCTTTGGCATATCATAACCTACGTCATATTTATCCGCGTTCTCCTCATATACATATGTTATTTAAAGGTTTTACCATAATACCTTGTCTGTTAACAATATTGGTCAAAATACGTTTTTATAAATATCGGAATGAGAAGCCGATCGTGTGGCAGATTCTGCGTGTATAAGGTGTGTAACATTGTAAATAAGCTTTGTAAATCGTGTTTTTAGGCTTTGAAATAAAATACATGTACAGTTACATAATTAGAATTAGTTTGACGCATGATCAAATAATAAAAAATAATGCAAAATATTTTCAGGCAGCACTTGAGGTGTGAGCGGTTGCGGTGCGCATGTTATAGATATAAGCGTTGGTTTGTTTATATTGCAGATCCGTCAGCAACTTGGCGCAGGGGCTGACGTCCAACGGAATGTTCGGCTCCTCCTCCTCGCTACTGAGCAAGCTCAGTGGGGTCGGCACCATCTCAGGTTGGTACGCCGCGCCACAGACAGATGCAACCACATGATGCTGTCGTGTGTTTCCCGTTGGGCCGATCGAATCTATACAATCAGTCAGTTGATCGGGAGGCCCAACGGGAAACACTAGCACAGTCGATGGTTTCGACCTCACATTGTCGACTGATGTAAATACCTGTCCCAACGCTCCCTGTATACATAAATCACGAATATAAATATCGGCTGTACATATACACGAATAACCTAAGTAAACTGTCAGTGTTACGATGAAAATTTGCATCAACATTTTGCCTTAATTTACTGTAAATAATTTTCTTGAGTGTAGTAGTATTACTATTGCGGTTTGTGTAAAAACAATAATTCATATACATATTGTATAGAACTAAGTTGTGTCTTATCAGCTGCGACTAAATTGTAACTTAAATCTCTACGAAAAATGTCACATGGAAAAATAAATTATTTACAGAAGTTTGTGCTCAATGATGTCGACAAATAGCGAAAAATATAAATTAAAGTTGGTAATTTATCGCGATTATTATCTTTTGTCGTCTTGCGAGGGCGCTCGTGAGAGTTGTATATATGTAAATGTCACATGAGTTGAATCGTTTTATCGTCTTTTACGTGACGTGTTAATTACTACTGGAAACTGGACGTATATTTTTTATTCAAATATCACCATCATATTTGAGAAATGAATAACCTTTGGCAGAGAAATTACCTGGATCTCTCAGGTACATCTTATTTAAAAATCGACACTACAAAGTCCTTGATAAGGTCACATATTATTGACATCAATTTAGTCCGATGTTATTTTCCTTACATGTTTTTTTTTTATTTCTTATTATATTAAAAGGTATGTTTTAAATCTGCACCGTTTTCTTTTTCTATTGGTCTCTATGTCACTAGAAATTATGCAATAAATAAACTTCGTTAGCCAAGTTAATTAATAAAGTAGTTTTATCCGCAGAACTTGTAGGCGGTGGTGTGGGGGGCGTGGGCAGCGTGGGCGTGGGCGCGGTGGGCGGCGTGGGCGTGGGCGCGCTGGTGGGCGAGAAGCCGCCCGCCGGCCGCTCGCGCCTGCTGGAGGACTTCCGCAACAACCGCTTCCCCAACCTGCAGCTGCGCGACCTCGCCAACCACATCGTGGAGTTCTCGCAGGACCAGCACGGCTCCAGGTTTGTTCTATACAATAAATACATGCAACACAAGACACGTCCCTCATACTAGCTTGTTTATTGTATACTTTAGCTTTATTGATCGACTTCCCGAAAGACGGAGATACACAATACGTCTGTTTTTTTATCAGTGTTATATGGATAGATGTTTGTTAGAGGGTATCTCCAAAATGGCTCGACGGATCTCGATGATATTTCGAATAGATATATAATAGAACATAATCTCGTCTAACACAGGTTGCTTAGTAAGATCTTTTATTTATTTTGCGCGGTTGTTGTTGCAAAAGTTAATACATGATAGGTATTCGTCAGTTGATTAACATTTTTTTTTGTCATATGAAAAGTGCAATATGTAGTGGAACCATAACAAAAACATTTTAACAATGAGTCTATTGTCAACTTTCAGTAAAAGCGCACTCTACATAATATTTTAGCTTTGTGTACCGCTTATTAGAGATATGGAACTATGGAAAAAAATAAAGTTGTTGATGGAAAACAGTCTATATAAAGTCGCCATATTCTGACTTCGAGATGTTTCTCAATTGCAGAATATTAAAATCTGTTCTTGATTCTGCAAATATATTTTGTTCTCATGACTTTTGGTAGATGGTATTATTCGTAAGTTTTATTTTAAGAAAAGAGTTGAATTTTGTGTGTTATCGCGTTAAACTATATCGGAATAGCATTTTTAATAATCCTTTGATCAATATCACCTAGAGATCGCGATAAATGTTTACGTGGTTTGTTCCAGGTTTATTCAACAGAAGTTGGAGAGGGCCACAGTCCCGGAGAAGCAAATGGTGTTTAATGAAATTATTGGCGCTGCGTACAGCCTCATGACTGATGTCTTTGGAAATTATGTCATACAGAAGTTCTTTGAGTTTGGGACAACCGAACAGAAAACTACATTAGCGCAAAAGGTAATAATTATGTTAATAAAAAAAATTATTAAAATATTTGGATTTGGCTCACGAGATTACCGCCATGTGGCGTATGAAATCGACTACCATTATTCCGATAGTCGTTTCGGTACACGGACTAATAGCGAAGAGCTTCGACCAATACCTCAAGAAGCTCTCGCTAGACAGTTGGATTAAGGGTCCGATTCAAAAGGCGGTTGTTTTAGAAACCGCACGCATAGTGAGGAGGTTCCTGTCTCTACAGCCCTGACCACTGGTTGCTTGAGGCATCAGATTCCGCAGCCGGTGGTGCTCTATTTTTTATATAACATATTTTATTTTATTTTTATATCAAATTTTTATATTGTAAAATGTATTATATTGAAATAAGAAATAAAGATATATGAAATAATAATAAAATAATTAAACGAAATAATTATTAACTTAGCTGTCTTTTCCACCATAATTCTTCTATATACTGAAGTTGGGGAGTGGGGGCGTAGTGTTAGGTGATATAAATGTAAGCACGGTGTAACTGCAGGTGCGAGGGCACGTGCTGGCGCTGGCGCTGCAGATGTACGGCTGCCGCGTCATCCAGAAGGCGTTGGAGTCCATCCCCGCGGAGCAGCAGCAGGAGGTGGTGCGCGAGCTGGACGGACACGTGCTCAAATGCGTTAAGGATCAAAACGGAAATCACGTCGTGAGTACATTGCTTTTTATATGAACAAAATTATTTTTGTGCATATAACACACATCTAATTAATTTTTAACTGGTACTAAAACAAGTTACAAATAATTAATACAGCTGACCGTCAAATTTAAAAAATATAAGTATACTCAAATATTGATATTAGTATTTTATGTTGAATAATTTTTTATAATATTTGCACACAAATATACCCAACGATGTATTTGTTTATAAATAAAATGGTCTCATTTAGCAAAATATTGTTGCAGCGTATTGATGCGGGCGTGTGCTTGTGCTTGTGTTGCAGGTGCAGAAGTGCATCGAGTGCGTGGAGCCGGCGGCGCTGCAGTTCATCATCAACGCGTTCTCGGGGCAGGTGTACGCGCTCTCGACGCACCCCT